ATCTTCTATATTTTTTTTAGCTTAACTTGATTCTAACAATAGAAATAATTATTAAATAAAATTTTTATATAATCAATAGCATTAATTTTGAGGAGAATCAACTATTAAGGTTTAGAGGATATTTAGAATATTTTTAGTGGTAGCAGTTCAAGGAATGTATACAGATTGAATAAAATTAATGAAATAAAATTTAAGAACATTAGTTTTATGCAAGATGTAAGTAACAATAGGTGCTTTCCATTCGATTACACAAGCGTCGTTCAATCTTTCTTGACATTTAGAGAAAGTGACAGATAGAACGACACTTGTGTGTCGACTTGTGTTATCAAATGGAAAGTACTCAATGTATAATAATATTTAGGTATTACATGCAGGATGAAAATGTAAGTTATAAATTTGGAGATGAAGTCCACAAGATATTTAGAACAATTTAGAACACTTTTACTTGAATAGTTTTACGAGGAAATTAAGGAAATGTATTTAAAGATATTTATATATTTTGAATAAATAAGCTTATATTACATAAATTGCTTTTTATATTCTCTTAGGTTATAATAAAATATTTCAAATGGCTTGTGTTAGAATATGATCATTAACATACATTTACAAACTATTGTCGGAAATAAAACATCTGTTCTCTTAAGTATTCTTTTGTATTTCAGTATCGATTGATATCTATTTTTATCAACTACTATACAAATGAAAAAAAACGGAGTAAATTGTACATGCAGCAAACGGAGAAGAGATCATATCATCGTATGAATATTTTGGGGCCCTGAAAAGGGCCATTTGTTATTTGTTGTGATTGCAACCAGAGATTGTTGTCTCACATAGTCAGTTTACGATTATGCTTTCTTTTCCGTTTTCTTCGGCAACAGCACCGCTTGAATGTTGGGCAAGACACCACCTTGAGCGATGGTTACACCAGATAGTAGCTTGTTCAATTCCTCGTCATTACGGATGGCGAGCTGCAGGTGCCTCGGAATGATTCTTGTCTTTTTGTTATCGCGAGCTGCGTTACCAGCCAACTCCAACACTTCGGCGGCAAGATATTCCATCACGGCGGCCAAATACACCGGTGCTCCAGCACCTACGCGTTCGGCATAATTTCCCTTTCGCAATAATCGATGGATACGGCCTACGGGAAATTGTAATCCAGCTCGGTTGGAGCGACTCTTCGCCTTGCCTTTAATCTTGCCTCCTTTGCCACGTCCAGACATCTTGACGACCTAATCCAGCGACCAAACGGTTTCCGTGCGAACCGAACGATAGCAGAACGCGTTATGAGGGAACGCTGCAAAACTAGCTATATTTATAGGCAATGGCGTCAGTAATGTTTCACCAATGGCGTGTGAGCGAAGCTGCTATTGGCTGAACGCTGATATGACGGTTAATATTTAAAACTTTCAACGTTTATTGCTATTATTATTCCTTATTTGAAATAAAATACAAATAAATAAAGTATAAATAACGGTTTAGAAAAAAATATTTAGATTAATTAAAATAATAATTTATGTGATTGATGCTCGTGTCTACCAATGTAGATCACTTTAATCTCAATTTAAAGATATATATGTCTTTTTAAATTTTTATAATTAAAAAAAGATGAAGAACTAATTGAATCAATTAAACTGCATTGATAAACCGGCTTATTAGATATTAATCTTTGATAATTTAATGTTTGGAAACGTGTCACGTATAAGATGTACATGATAGTAAAATAATGCAAAATTCCATTTGAATTTTGTATGTAATGGTCTTAAAAGACTTTATGATGAAAATATGTAGAACGCTTATTAAGAATTTATTAAATGCTATTAATTTAAGAACTCAAGATCCTACAAATTTACATTGTTTAGAATACTTTTAATATTTTAAGTTGATTTTCGAATACAAATAATACTGATAAAATTATATCAAACTCGACTTAAACAATTCTTTATTACAATAACAGACAGAGAAATTATGAAAATAGCATTAAATATATTTATAATATACTAGGATTTATCGTATTACGCTTCGATAAGATGAGTTAACGAAAAATTAAAATTTATAAACATGTTTTGTCATACCGATAATTGTAATAATTGCATGATGATAATTAGAAGTTTCTGAAATTGTATTAAGAAATACGTTTAAATTAAATTTAATTAATACGCTAAATTTAAGTTAAGTTGTATATTTTAATGTTAATACAATTTTTTAATGTCTTTTCAATATAGTTTTATTTGTTACAGTTTGTATTTTTCTTATTGTTGTATAGAATTAAATAATCTTCCTTGTGTTGTTTCGTGCTGTATTCAGTATTTTTTATTTAAATCTCATCAATGTTTATAAATTATAATCAATATTTAGAAAACTTTTAGATAACATTTTATATTCAAATGTCAATAGATATAATGTAAATACAAAGAACATAAGATAAATAAAAGATTCCGAAACGTACAAAAGCCTAAAAAAAAATCTTACAATAAAATCAGCAGCACACGATGTATGTTTTCTCGCTTGATTGCTTGCATTTTAGCAAATTATTAGAAATTATGCATTCCGGGTAGCAATCGTGTAATTTTGTTTTACAATGGAAACGTGAAAAGGAACATTTTTATGTATACACATTTTTATGTATATATGTATATACATGTATACAAGGAACGTTTATTTTTTCACCCTACAGAGAAAGTTATTACATGATCACTATCTTAGGGATCAATCATGTAATTTTTTGTTTAGAGTTATGTTCACATTTTTCCATCCGAATAAAGATGTGAAAAAATATCAATGTAAGCCAAATAAATTAAAAGAAGAAAGATATAAAATTTGGCCACGAAAGAGATGGAAACTAAGTAAGTGGCACGAGTAAGATATTTAATAAATATAAAAATTTCATGAGACTATTCGAAAAGGTCAGATGCATCTCGCTTTGGGCATTGCGTCACCTCGATTATTTTTTTGAAAAGCGTTGCGCGGCTTTGACTATGCATTTGCATTTCCTAATTCTTATGGCCGCAGCACAGACTCTTGCATAACACATAATGCATAAGCGAATCAACTCAGAATCATCAGAATCTTTTCATTCTTCCCTGTCCATCGAAGATCATCGCAGTGGCCCAGTTCAGTCATTTGGCTGCGAGGCTAATAAACCAAGAAGAAGAAAAAGATAAGAAAGTAATATTTAAGAGGAAGGAAAGTAAAAAGAATGAGATGATCGAGATATAATAGGTTAAGATAGAATAAGATATGTACATTAAAGAGTTTGTGCGACATAAGTAGACATGCATAATAACGTGAATAAGATAGAAATATAAGACAAGATTATAAGCAGAGGGAACTAATTTTAAGAAGAATGAAAAAAAAGAGCACAAGAAATCATGGAACAGAAAATTAGGAAAGAGGAAAATTAAGGTATAAAAAAAAAATAACATTGGCAGAGGAGAAAGGAAGTTGTTTCACAGAGATTTATATTAGGAGAATCGTGATGATGTGTTTGGATGGCGATGAATCGAAGGATTAAAAGCACAAGGAAATTGAAGCAGTATTGAGAAGGGCATTGAAGAAAAAAATGAATGAAAATTGAAGATTGTACAATAAAATAAATAGGAATTTAGCTGCAAGATATAAAGTACAAATAAAAGTTATAAGTCGATAGAAATAAAGAGAAAAAAATGTGTGTATATACAATTTTTAAAGCATCTTTAATAAAAAGAAGTAGGGAAAAGATAAAGAGGTTAAGAGGTGTATTGTAGATAAGACAGAAATAATGACAAAAATATGCATGTCAAGATTGGTACGTTAAGGATAAAAAAATAACTTAATAATAGTACAAAGGATAAACGAATAAGAATAAGATAAAAAGTGTATCGTCTTCTTCTTGGCTTGTAATGCTGAAAATATTTACTAATTGAGTCTTCATTGAGTTTTAATTTTTTTGATAAGTCTGTTTAAAAATATTTAAGAATATCATATATTTTCATTGAAAGATATTAAAGCATCTAATGTAAATGTAATTATAAGTTGTTTATCTAAGTTACAATTCAGAGAAGTTAAATATTTATGAAATATTGTATGTATATACTCCACGAAAAAAGCATTTTTAATTTCAGACTTATTAAATTTATGATATTATATGCGGGTTTATAAATTGTTTTAAAAACTTTAAACACTTTCTTTAATAAATATATTGGAAAAAAGTATCAGAATAACTATTTAAATCATAAATAAAAATCAGATGTATGCAAATAAGAAATATTCGTTTGAAAAATTGTTGGCCCTGAAAAGGGCCGATTAAATATCTTTTTATAATTTATTGCGCTCGCTCGCAATTAAGCTCGCTCGCCACGGATGCGACGTGCCAGTTGGATATCTTTAGGCATGATGGTAACTCGCTTAGCATGAATAGCGCACAAATTCGTATCTTCGAAAAGACCGACAAGATATGCCTCGCTAGCTTCCTGAAGAGCCATTACAGCAGAACTCTGGAAGCGAAGATCCGTCTTGAAGTCCTGAGCAATCTCACGAACAAGTCGTTGGAATGGTAATTTCCGGATTAATAACTCTGTACTTTTCTGATAACGACGGATTTCACGGAGGGCCACGGTGCCAGGCCTATAACGATGAGGTTTCTTCACGCCACCGGTAGCCGGAGCACTTTTCCTTGCAGCTTTCGTGGCCAACTGTTTGCGAGGTGCCTTTCCTCCTGTCGATTTGCGAGCGGTTTGCTTCGTACGTGCCATCGTAAATCCGATCAAATTTTATAGAGCGAAATTCTGCGTCAAGAGAGAACTCTGTGTCAAACTGTGAGTTGGCTTGGACTGCTCCGGTCTTATATACAGTCCCGGAAAAGTGCGCCGCGCACTGATTGGTCACTGCTTTAGGGGTGGGAGAAGCCACCAAGATAGACGGAGAACGCTCCTATTGGTGGATGCCGTCAAAGTGGGGCGCGTTAGAGCAGCCAGGGAATAAAATCGGCTGGTTTCTGAGATGAGCCACCAAAATCGTTTAGCACTTTTGCGAGTATATACGTACGACGGTTAAAAGCAGATCATCATGACTGGCCGCGGTAAGGGAGGAAAAGGATTGGGAAAAGGAGGAGCAAAGAGACATCGTAAAGTACTCCGTGATAACATTCAGGGAATTACCAAGCCGGCAATCCGTCGTCTGGCACGTCGTGGCGGAGTCAAACGTATTTCCGGATTGATTTATGAAGAAACACGTGGTGTACTGAAGGTGTTCTTAGAAAACGTTATTCGTGACGCGGTTACCTATACCGAACATGCAAAAAGAAAGACTGTGACTGCCATGGACGTCGTCTACGCCCTGAAACGCCAAGGAAGAACCTTGTACGGCTTCGGCGGTTAAACATAGACAGTTTTTACTTGTATACAATCGGCCCTTTTCAGGGCCACCAAAAATTTCAAACGTTGTATTTCTTGCTGCAATTTTTGAGACTTAAGATTTAGAATTAAGATAAGTATTAATGTTCAAGAAGACTAACTTTATATTTGTATTCTTTATTTTTAAATTTTATAATATGTGTATTGCATCCATCTTTCATGTTCGTCAAACATTTAAAATAAAAAGAAAATTAACGGGTCTATTTTTTCATTACATTTTACTTTCGAATATATTTTTAAGTACTTTTATAAGCGGTAAATCGATTCGTTTGCAATTTCTATGTTGAAGGAACATTTCTACGAAACGATCTCCATGAATATGAAATAGATATCTCGAGAATAATGAAAAACAGTTACAAGATAGAATGTATTTATTTCAGTACTTTAATAAAAAAAGACTTTACAATTCAATCGTATTCGTTTATATTCCATCCTTTTGTTCGCATACTAAACAAGTCTAACCTTAAGAAAATAATGTAATTGCACGCAGCTATTTATAATAAATTTCATAGACAAACGTCTGAATATTTTATAAAACATGTACCAATTATTATATAATCTAGTTTAAATAAAATGTTTGAATATTTTTGAAGTTATAAAAATATTTGGATATTTTTAAAAACTATTTAGAAAATAGTTTCTCTGTATTTTTTTCACGTTCAACAAAATTGATTTATTAATATTTCAAATATTTATTAATATTTTAAATAGAATACTTTCTTTTAAACATAGTGCCATATTGCAAATAATTTTTAAAAAATATTTATTTTTAATATTACTCCAGTTATTTCAACATTTTACGGTCTTTATTTCTGCACGTATTGTACGTAGGTATTTAAATTATCTTAACGTCTAAACATTTAGCATAATTTTTTCATCGAATTTTATTATCTTTTAAGAAAAAAACAAATTTGCAAAGAAAATTTTAAAACTTGTCATTTTATATCCTTTCTTCGTTTTACATTCTAAAATGATAAAGTAATAATTGTTAAATAAACGAGAGCAAGGATTACGTAGCAATTAAGGTTTCGTAAATATACTTTTACAACAAATGATAAATATGATTTTTTATTTAGAGATATGAATATCTTTTTCTCTAGCATTCGATTATAAAACCGGATTTTTAAATAAAATTGAAAAATTTCAATAAATCTTGGTTTCAAAAAGTAATTTAAAAATTGACAGAAAAATATATATCCTGATCATTATGACTGCAATTAAATTTTAATTTGTTCGTAAGATCATTTCGGAAATATTTACATAACAAAATAGCTCTCTTAAAAGTCAGTATGAATTTAAGATATTGGAATAATTTCGAACTGTTAGCAACTAAATTCTTATTGCTTATCTTGCTTATTGATTATTTAAGAAATAATGTCACAAAAATTAATAACAGAATAACATTAAGAATTTATATATATAAATTCAGTGGCACACACACTACCGAATTAATATACATTAAAATGCTTCAAAATAACATCTAAATATAGTAAATAATAATTAAATATAACATAATATAATAAACTTCGACAATGAAATAAGAACAATGAAATAATACACGAATATTCAGTTAAATAATGTTAGAATATTATTTAATATTTAATCGATTAAATTACTTATATGTGTTAATAATCAGTGTAATATAAGTTATGTAAGCGACGGAATTCATCACAGACTATTTTAAAGTATTTGAACTTAGTAATTTTGATCAAAAATATGAAGTGTTCAAAAAATAAAAGTTACTATAATTTATGCTTTAATGTTTTTTTTTTCTTTGTTTTATTACTAAAGATGAAGATATGGATATAGATTATTAGAGAGCAAAACAAGAGATTTCCACGTTTTAAGAATTTATTGGCCCTAAAAAGGGCCGATATGCGTGTGCAATGTGTATTAAATTGCTTCACTTGGAGCTAGTGTACTTGGTCACTGCTTTAGTTCTCTCGCTGACTGCGTGCCAATTCTCCAGGTAAAAGAAGCCTCACTACAGTTTCTCACGAGACATGATCGTCGATCTCTTATTGTAGTACGCCAATCTTGACGCCTCTCGGCGGCAATTCTCTCAAACACATCATTAACTGTTCAACATCATTAATATGATGCTCATGGCTTTGCTGGAAATTTCGGTATCGGAATGTACTTGTTTCAACACCTTGTAAATGTAAATAGCATAGCTCTCCTTCCTCTTACGCTTCTTGTCGACTAAGTCGACAATAATGAATCTACGCAAAAATTCATTTTATGTTGAAACATTTCCAAACATTGTTTTGAAATCGTCACACGGTCGCGTTTATGGTCCACAGTGAACTAACGCGGCATCCATCCTGCCGATAGCTTTTTCATACCCAATTGTTCGTGCAAAATTGAAATCACTGTGCCATGTGATATCCCTGTGGCCTCAACAAGCTCACGCACTTTCACTCGTCGATCAACCAAAATAATATCATGGATTTTATCGATGATTTCTGGCGTAGCAGCCTCAATTGGACGTCCCGAACGAGGTGCATCACACGTGGATGTACGACCGCGTTTAAATTCATTCACCCAATTGTATATAGTCGCAAACGCTGGTGAAGATGTGCTATGAACATTATCCAACTCGACTTTGATTTCTTTCGGCGTTAAACCTTTCATATATAGATGTTTGATCACTGCACGAAATTCGTTTTTTTCCATTTTCTAAAAAATACAAAGGTTGTTAGCTTTAATCATCTACAGAAATGAAACCACGCGATGAATTCCGCTCAAAATTTGAGTAACCGGCTGAAAGATGCTATTTGGCAAAAAGTAATGTGACATGACACCGCGAGTGTCCTGATAGATTTTCTAAGAACTTATTGACCTGTAATCTCGTAATGTTCTTCTGAACTTTGCCCGCCTTCTTTACCACTTTACCACTTTTCGGTGGCATGTCTTGATTAGTTGCAACGAAACCCTCTGCGTAGCTGTGGATTCAACAAAGTGTGAGCGTCGATTGATTTTTCTAGCGTCTGCGTTCTTTATATACGTAACGGTGTAGCCATGCGATAACCAATCACATCGCGCAGCACTGCCGCGATAGGGTCCACCTCGACCTCATTGGTGCGTTGTAGAAACAACTGTCTCACGTTGACGTTGAACTAAAACTACAGAATACTCAGGTAAACTTTGTGACTTTGTGTCAAAGTAATTTATTGAGCAACAAAATGGGCCTGATGATTTAGTAATATTTGTCTTAATGTAAAAATGTATCAGAAATTATATTGGATTATTAAACTGTATAATTTTAGATAATTTGTCAACGTGAAACATACCTTTCAATTAAACAATTAAATTTACGTACTTCAACATAATTTAACGTGTATGCTACAAAATTTTCATGTTTCAGATATAATTATATTGAAAAAAATTATATATAATTTCATGATGAAGTCCGAGATATAAATTAAAGGAATCGTATTTTGTGAAGCTTTATATTTAATATCAATTATTTTTTCTAATATTAATAAAGAGACTAATTATGTGCTTCGAGATTATATAAAACGTAAATCTAAATAAATATTAGAATTTGATTTATGATGTAAAAATTGTGAATAACACAAAAGTAACCATGTTTCTTTGTCTGACTACATTTGATGCCTGAACAAAGGCAGGACATTCCTTCTTTTCCAACGCCATTTCGTGATACGTTACGTTGAGAATCGAGACGATTTCACATGTGTCTTGCCCGATGTTAAAATATTTCGATATTTATTTGCTTCGATTTTTATTTATATAGATAAATACAAAGAGACAGCAAATAAGATGATAAGAATATTGGAAATTAAAAAAAAATATGTAATATTCATTATTTTATATATATATATATATTTATTATATATATATATAAAATTATGGATATTACATATATATATATATAATTTCTTGTTTCTATTAATATTTATTTTACATATTTAGCAAAATTTACAAAGTGACAGAGATCATGGAATAACTAGAAAAGATAACTAATGATATTCATGAGCAATTTAGAGATTAAAACAGTAATAGTAGATAAGTAAATAAATCAAAGAATCTTATTTTTGAAAATCGATCTTGATACTTAATAATTATGTAAATTCATTTTTTTTTAATTTCTAGAAACTGCGCGACAATATGATTCATCGAATTTAACAACTTACAAAATGTGGATAGGAAAATGGTAAGCGTTAGGAACAGTGAGGTATATTGCTGAACAGAGTATGCCTTCGTTAAAAAATGTTGTGGCCCTGAAAAGGGCCATTTGTATCAGATGCCAGATTACGATTATGCCTTCTTCTCGGTCTTCTTAGGTAGCAATACGGCCTGGATGTTCGGCAAAACACCGCCTTGAGCAATGGTCACACCGGACAACAGCTTGTTCAACTCCTCGTCATTGCGGATGGCGAGTTGCAGATGACGAGGGATGATCCTAGTCTTTTTGTTATCACGAGCGGCGTTGCCAGCCAACTCCAAAACTTCAGCAGCCAGATACTCCATTACTGCAGCCAGGTAAACCGGTGCACCAGCGCCGACGCGTTCAGCGTAGTTTCCTTTCCTCAACAAACGATGGATACGACCCACGGGGAATTGCAATCCCGCCCTATTGGAACGAGACTTCGCCTTTCCCTTGACTTTACCACCCTTGCCACGACCAGACATGTTGTTCGGTTAACGAATACGGTACGGATATACTTTCTTCGAGAGAAACGAGAGATTTGTGACGTCTCGCTGCCCGGGCGCTCCCTTTTATACCCCGCGAGGATAGCGCACTCCCCACCAATCAGCGTGCACAGCTGCTCTCCGACCTTCTGATTGGTGCGCTGTAGATGACGCGGAATGGTATATATACGACAGTTCGGTTTGCGCTTCAACTCATTTTACTCGTGAACATCGAGGACGCTAAATCGTGGTTTTATCCGCAAGCTTTCTGATTGTACGACAAAATGCCTCCTAAAGCTAGTGGCAAAGCTGTAAAGAAGGCCGGTAAGGCTCAAAAGAATATTAGCAAGACTGACAAGAAG